GGGGGGGCATTGCCATGCTGTGATGTTGCATCTTTTTCAGGGCGAAAACCGTCACAGCCTAGTTTTAAACGTATGTGAAATCGGAACATACTGTTCACTTTTTTCTTCCCAAATCTAAAAGCTCCTGTGGACTATACCTAATCAGTCCCAGAAAATAGAAAGCAGAACTCTTCTTGCTGAGACTACAGCTTTGAACTTTTTCGGACGTATGTGCTTTTATGCTCCATCGACTCTCATTTGCTTTCTGGATCAAAACAATGCACGCATGACTCATCCTCGGTGACAAGTATTATTATCATGCCACAGGAAAACATCACCTTCTTGCTCGAACTATTCAAGTTACGGAGCACATCATTTATTGTTCTCTGGTCTTTCATTTCAGTTGTCTGCATTCGAGAGATCCACGAACTGGACACTTTCCTGCAGCCCAGGATATCCGTATCGATGTGGTGAGTTTGCTTTCTGAATGATATTCTGACTTCGTTTGCTTTATTTTTTGTCCTTAAATCGTCTATTGGTCCCTATTTGTTATTTTTACTTTCTAGGCACCCTGTGGCCTACTAGAACGGATTTGATGGTTCAATTTAGTTTCAGTCAGATCTTCTCCGTTCAAAGATGGTTCATGTAGATCTAACCGTATAGTACTTACACCAGCACAAACCTGACCACACAAACTGATGTCATTCTTTTATTTATGGGTGTCGCTGTAAAGCCTGTCTGGTGTGGGAGATGAAGTCACGGCTTGAAGCGAAACTCTTTGGCAGTCGCCATTTTTGCTCTGACCGACATGAAAGTTTGAGTGTGAATGGTATCGCAATGAAATGAAAATTTCTTGTGGTGGTAGTCAAATTATAAACAGAAAGTACTTGTTGCAAGTTCAGAATTTTACAAGTTATGGCAGTGCAGGCATTACTTTCAGTCCATCCTCGTACTTTGGTCTGGACGGTTTGCAAATGTGTTTGTTTTTTAAGTCTTTTTCGGCTCTTGGCGAGCTGCCAAAATGAGATCAGACACGGCATTCCTTTCTAATTTGCGTTACGGTAGTTAGCAGTTAGTAGTTGGCTCATACATCACTCTATTCCCCACCCACCCACCCCCATACCTCCGACCAATATCCGCACTTTCCCGACTGTCTATGCCTTTTCTTCTCGATGGTGTCCATACAAAATCGCCCTAACTTAAGACACCAGTCCATGGGAAAGATGGTGGGAGGTACCTTTATTATAGATACTACAAAAATAGGGGGGGATCCTTAATATGAATACTACAAAGAGGGGGGGGGGGGGGGGGGGCATTTTTTTTTTAAGGTCCTCAAAAAAAAAGGGGGAGGGGGGCCCCTATTAAAAAAAAAATACCTGTGGGGGGAGGGGGCTTATTATAAATACTACAAAGATAGGAGGGGAATCTTATTATAAATACTACAAAGATGAGGGGGCCTCCTGGGGGGGCTTAACTTATTATAAAATATTGGGGGTATTATAAATGCTACAAAATGGGGGGTGGGGGTGGCGGGGCATTTTAAATGCTTCGGAGAAGGGGGAACCCTTATTATAAATACTACATATATAAAGATAGGCGTGGGATGACATTTAAAATATTACAAAATGGCCACGGGACGTAAGTTACAAAGTGTCTAGGAAGTGTACACTCTATATCAGTTATCATGTTTTCCTCCTTTACTCCTTAACCAACATAACGATGGAAAAAGGTCAACTTGTATACCGCCTAGCCACGCTACTGACTTCAATGTTTGAAAATCAATGTTTTGGTTTATAGTGGGGTTCCAATTCGGATGATGATACCACGCCAGACTATTGAAATCTTCCTGTTCCATCATACGTGGTACATAATGTGTACACTTTGGAAATAGTATATATATAACAAATTAAATACGTCTCGATAAGCTGCTCATGTCCGTGTGATCTTTATCATTCTCACTATAGTTCCTCTAGTCGGGTCAAAAATGCGTGGCGCAACTTACCCTCAAATATCTCTTTAACAAGGGATGTCACCCATACTTCACACAACAGTTTGTATCCACTAACATAACTTATCATTTTTTCCTCAACAAATAAGGCTAGATTCTAAACTTAAAATCTTTTCTTTATAAATTTATATAACACACTGTGAATCTCCGTCACGCGGAAAATGAGATTATTCATAGCACTTCCCACTTCTCACACATTTTGCATACGCATTGCCTTCGTCACAGCTCACCAATTATACTTTTCAGAGGCAAAACTTGTTAAAAGAAATTAATTTTATAGTGAACACCTTTTGGCACTACAAGTTTTCAAATCATGAGTTCAATACGCATGTCGCGATTAGAAAAAAAAATGACGGACTTGCTTTTAAAACCAACATTGCCCCAGCTGTAAACCCTTTAAAATCTGCAGAAACCATCCACTGGCATTTTAAAAAATTAGTAATACATCTAACAAGTGTTTACAAAAATATTGATCTGTTAACACAAATTGATACAAGCCACTGTGCAGAAGCTGGAAGGTTTATGTTAGACATTTAAGGAAATATTTGGCAATAAGTTGCGCCACGACTTTTTGAGCGCAATATAAATGGGCGTTCTTGATGAAAGATGAAAGTAAACCCTTTGGGAGCTACCTAGTACTAGCATAATGGGCGGACGGGAGAAATAAATGGTTTCCCGACAATGCACAGGACTACAAACTGCGAGCAATTGCCTGGAAGATATGGTCCTTGATTTAAATATGTTCGGCCAGACAGAGTAGGTTTATCGTATCTCTCGGTCTTAAACAGTTCATAATTTATCGATGCTCAGGTCAAAAGAGGTGACAACATATAAAAATTCATAAAGACGATCATGGGTTCATTTGGCATGTATATATAAAGTGATCTTACCCTCGTTGAAAACAGAGTTGTTGAAGCTTTCTGTCTGCAAACAGTTTCATTCGGTTAGAATGTAGTAATGAGACTATGGAAAATACAAATGTTTCGTAAGGCACGTAATTTGTTACCATTAAGTGATAATGATACTTCATTTCTAACGTGGATTTAGTTCACATTATGTTAAATCTAGAAAATCACTACAATTGCTTAAAGGTATCTGTACAAATGCAGCCAAAAGAAAATCAGAGCCTGCACAAACCTCGCCGTGTTACTTTTATCACCATTCAACTCATTCTTTGTGGACTCTTGAACTCTCCCCCCATAACCATTGCCAAAGAAGCCGAGACCGCTGTCTATGCGACAATACCTGGTCGGCTGGGGCCCTGCTCACTTCAAAATCTCAGCGCCAGTAACTCACTTCTAGCGTGTGCGCAAATTTGTAACACGTTAATCCCGGAGTGCCTGGCTTTCACCATGAGCCCCGGGAGTATGTGCACTCTCTGTAAGGCTTCTGAAGTTCACCATCTGGACATGTCCCAGTCTAACATGGACGCTCCTTTTTACCTGCCCCAGAGACAAACTACCACCACGTCCGGAGTCTTATACGTCCCTTCCGGGCTGTATGATGCATCAGTTATAAAAATATCCGGAATTGCGGGAATGAAACCATCGGGTTTCTACTTTGGGCCTCAGACCTGTAACGGTCCTACCAATAACTGTTCTGTAGTCGACGTGTTTCTCAACATCAAGCCTTCGACTGTAGTCGTGAAAAGCTACTCTGGAAATGGAATCTGGCACAGCGGAGGACAATTCGTGAACCCAAAGATCTTCCAGCCTGGCAAACATTTCGACCTTTTCGTTCTTGTCACGAACAAGGTATACAAATTCTACATGACAGGTCAATTGCTCATCGAATACCAGAGGACTCTCAACATCAAGTTAAACGAGATCAAGGTCATTCAAGAGAGAGGAGACATAAGAGTTTCTGAAATTACTTACCTTTCTGGGAACCATTGACCATAAACTACTGTCTTAGACCTTATTACAGGCAGGCAGGGGGTGCATTTTGTTGGGTTTTTTTCTTTTTTGAAAATATTATTGTTATTAGGGGGCTGACGCTCGCCTAATTTACAAGTTTCATATTGAATTAAAAGAAATATTTTGAAATCATGAGTGCATTCCTCTTTGTCAGTTTTGATTCCTTTCCTAATTCTAAACCCCCACCTCCCACCCACCAAGATAATGCACTACCAGTACCAACCCCGCCGCCCCCTCCCTTTCTCCCCTTTCCCACGTTCCCCTCTCATAACTGTGGTTCTTTTCAGCTGGTAAGCATTCTCCATTGTACCTCTCTGATCATGATGACTATGTCTGTGCTGCGCACCTGTCCTTTGTGGAATATTCCACGTTTTAGAATAATAATATAATGTACGTGCGGGTTGATGTTTTTTCCGACCCCATCGACCCAATTCAGATCATTTAGAAGGCGGACCTCGGCACAACCTATCTGTGCAAACCGGAGCTGAGAAGAATCCTACATTCCAGTAGAAAGACCGAGATACTCGATAACATTCTCCGCACTTGGGAATCAAACTCATGTCTTCTGCGTGCAATTGTGAAACGCCCCGAGCGCCACATCACGGTCGCCGGTAAACAGGATAAACGTCCTCAATCGTTTGTTAATGTAGACGAGTGCTCGCCAGCCTGGGCGATATCGTTCATTCGTGGACGCTTTGATAGTTGTTTTTTTTTTTTGGGGGGGGGGGGGCGGTAGGAATCACCCGGCTATGAACAGGTATTATCTTAATGCCATGCTTGGGAATACATTCGTGTACGTTGACCGTATGAATAATAATAATAATAATAATAACAATAATAATAAAAATAATAATAATAAAAATAATAATAATAATAATGATAATAAAAAGGATATAGCATTTATGTTGAGCATTTCTTTCTTTTTTTTTTTATTGAACGCTCAATGCGCATTACATTTATGATAATTTATAGAGATGTCACATTTTAAATAGATTAAAGGACATGTGCGTACGTAAAATAATAGTACAATGTAATATGTTAGCCTCTTCAAGACGGCAAAACTTTGGGCAAGTTATTAAAAAGTTATTTTTTGTTGTTGTTGTGGTGGTTGTTTTTATTCTTTTGTTTGTGTTTTACGGTGCTCAAGCAGCTGCGTATGATCATATAAGCGCGAGGGACACATTAAACTTTTTCAGTTGGTAGGAAATTTTGAATTTTACGCGGATGGCGGCCAAAGCATACTCTTATCGATTTTGGACCACCAAGGAATTTTTTCTGTGCGCAACTTGCACATGAGACCTCCGAGATTTTTCGCCATTGTCCGAGAAAGCTAGGTGTAGATCTTTCCTATCAGAAGGTCAGGGGTGTGGCTGAAAGACAGCAGTAAGAAAGAGCAAAGGAGTAACAGTAGAAAGGCTGCAGAAAGACTCAGGAGCCCTGAGGAGGGGGCAAAGGAGGTGAGATGGTGGGGGCAGAAAGTGGAGATGAAAGCATACGACAGAACATTAAAAGAAAGCAGGAAAGGATGTGAAAGAAGAAAATTTTA